CCCCAAAACCCCAAAACCCCAAAACCCCAAAACCCCAAAACCCCAACAAGTATTGGGATAATTGAAATTAACTAACTTATAGAGCCCCAAGGTTATTTTCCATTGTTGAGAATGCATTTCTGGGGGAATTCATTTGTTTCAGGATTTTGGTTAGTTTCTTGGTGTTCTCTTCCTCTTCCTTCTTTTTCCTGAGTTCTTCACTTGTAAGTGCATTATTCTTAAACCTCTGCTCCAAATCCTTGGCCTTCAAAAAAGTGTTCCTCATAACCCTACTAATCTGCTTATAATTTTCCAGAATCGCCAATCGAGGCGCCTCGTCATTTCTCTTCAGAAAAGTCTCAAAGTTGTTATTAGAGTTCATGTAGCCACTAGCATTTCTGATGTGGCTTGGGTTTTTGTTGTTAGGAACGAATTTTAGCTTAGGAGCTTTGTCAATACTATCATGGTCGAAGAAATCGGATTCAGAAGGGTTCTTCTCGGGTAGATCGAAGTTTATGTCCTTAGTATTATTTAAGAATACATTTCTTTCGATCATTTTTCTTGCTTGGTTAGGGTTTACTGGTGAGAATATATGATCGGAGCGGATCTGAGATACTGTATGGTGGGATTTTGGATTTCTTTGTGATTTTCCGTCGTTAGCTTGGCTAAATTTTATTATTAGAATAATTTCTGGATTATGAAAATTTTATGAAAAGAAAATTAACTTACCTTAAATCATTCATCCTCTTCTTCTGCACTGACACATTCACATCCTCCCCCTGCATCCTCTGCTGTCCCCTCTTCCTCTCCTCATCCCCTCCACTCCCACTCTCAACCCCTCTCTCCAACCTAATAGACCTCTTCCTCTCCTCCCCCACCACCTTGGCCCCCTTCACCTTCCCATCATACTTCGAAATATCAGGAAACCTCATGTTCATGATCCTCTCTGCGACCTGCTGCTTGCCCCTTCTAGTAAAGGGGTCGACCCCGAACCTTCTGGGGCTGACCTTCCTCGGCTGGATTTGGGTGAAGGTTCTGTTGCCAGAGTTATCCCGGAGATGGTACATGTTCTTGTGGAGGACAGCGTTGTTTTCACTGGCTCTGTAGACGGTGAGGGAGTTGGGCCTGCTTCCGATGATGGACATTTTTTTGAGTTTATTTTTTATTTATAATTTGAAGGTGATGTGGGGTTTTGGGGTTTTGGGGTTTTGGGGTTTTGGGG